TTACACACACACACACACACACACACACACACACGATACCTGGACCCTAGTTGTAGCGGGACTGCCTATACGCGTTAGTTTACCCTGCAAATACATCTCCCGCTCCATGAGTTCCCTTCGACTGCTCATCAAAAGGTTAGCAGTTCTGTAACCACCAATCACCCGGAGGGAGAAAGAGACTTTCTACTCCCGGAAAGATTTACAGACTTGGAAACCCCGCTCTAGGGTCACTGTAAGTCAGCAAAGGCTCACTGGCAGTGAGTTTGGAATTTAGCCACTCGCTGTGGTGTGTGTGTGTGTTGCTTTCACCCAACCTAACCACACTTTAAAACTCAAGTTCGAAGCCTGAACCCAGCAGCAGGGAATCGGAGTGAGGAGAGTGCATGGGAATGCCCTTGGCCGGCCTGCGGGCCTCCAAGACCCTGCCGGGCAGCAGTTGGGAATGGTTTCTAGGATGAGCGTATCTGGTTCTGCCCCGAGCACGCCTGGTGCAAGAGGGAATCCGATGGCAATCTCATCATAAAGTTGGAGTCAATGCCATGAGGGAGGTGGAACTATTTGTGGATTTAGCAAAGGAACTGCTCCGGGGATCCAGAGAACTCCAACCCCCCGACACACACACAGCCTTCTGAAGAATGTTCTAGCTCGGGGGAGGTTGATAGGAAATCCGATCCTAGGCTTTCAAGGTTCCCAGAGTACTGCCGGTCTTAACTCGGGGATGGGGTTGAGGCCATTTGCAGAGCGGCTCGGTGGCGCTGGGGCTGGGTAGGAGCCCGCTCCGCCCCTCCTTCCTGCCTTTGACTGCAACCAGACCTTTCCCGGCTCGCCCCATCCTTGCTCCCCTGCCCCCCTCCGCTCCCGCGCGCGGCCTGCGGTTTCCCTCCCTCCCGGGGCTGGAGGCCCAAGGCCGGAGAAAGCCTGCATTCACTGCGCCCCGCCCCCTCCCCGGCCGGCTCCGTGCCAAGCGGCCTCCCTGGAAGGAGCCTCCCCTCCCCCTCCGCACCCCGCACCCCCTCCCGCTCCTGGCGCGAGCGGAGGAAGAAGCTGCTTCCTTGCCCAGCCCCCACTGGAGCCGCCCCAGGGCCTCCTGCCTGTCGGTGCTGGGACTGAGCTGTGGGCTGGGGTGTGACCAGCCGCCTTCTCCCATTACAGTTCCTCCCGGTCCCGGGCTCCGGGGCAGCGTGCAGATGCTCACCCCGGGGCGCGCCTTCCCCATTCAAAGAAAGACTGGGGACCCTTAGGAGCAGGCCCTGCAACGGTGCGTGAACGAGACAATGGGGAGAGAGGCGGAACGGGCACGCCGGCCGTTCTCGAAGTCCTCGCCATTGGATGATACTTGTTCGGGGGACAATCGCATTCTAAGCACAGCATCGTCCGAAGTGAAGGCTTCACCTGCCAGGAAGGAAGAAAAAGCTCCGGCCGCAGAAATGGGCTGTGCCAAGCACCAGAGGCTGAGTCCTAGGAGATGGGGCTCGGAGGGGAAGACCGAGTGAGGGTAGCACGCGGCCTGCCACCCTTATTTAAGAGCCTGAAGTTCTGTCCTAAAGGCTTCCGGTCTGACCCCCTCCATTTCCATGTATTCCATCCCCTCCCTCCCCTCCTTCCATTGGCGTTCCTTAAGTATCGACTCTGTGCAGGCCCTTCGTGGGCCCTGGAATGTAGCAGTGAGTGAAAATCAAGTCCCCTGTAACTGAAGTACCAGAGGCTTGATTTATGTATTTTTTATTAATTTATATTAAAAGTAGATGGTTTGCTTTTCACTTCCAAGAGACCTTTTCTTACCTGAGAATTTTAAATTCCTGACCTAGAATTAATCCTGCCTTGTGATTTTTTTACGTCCTCATTCCAGAATTGCTCACCGCTCCTGTTCCAAGAGCCGGCAATCACGGAACCGTTACCTTGTGATTTAATGAAAACGATTTCAGGCTTCTTGAATGTTAACTCTTTAGCCATTAACTAACCTATCACCACAGAAACCGATATACTGCAAGCAAAAGTTATTTAAATCTCTCTGAATTCTCCAGAAACTCGCTCCTCTTGGTGTGAAGGGGAAATGCCCCAGTTTACAAATTATTCGTTGAGTCCTAAGAGCCTTTTGATGGCCCTGATTCTCAGTGGTGTATGGACCATACATTGGCTTGTAATCGCTCTTCTACAGTGTAACATAATGTAGTCATCCTCCATTTTGTGAACGGATGTGAGCAGTTAGAAGCCGATTCCTTTCATTGGGGGTGTGGCCTGTGTCCACTATATAAAGATGTTCTGACACAGGACACTCCCTCTCAGTCCTCCATCCACAGGTTCATTCTCTGAGGTCTACTTCTTGGGAAGTGAACCTGTGAGGAAAGAACAGAGAAGCCAGAAAATTCCACTGAAAAGCACTCTAGGAACAAGGGAGTGGTACAGAAGAATTCAGCCGATAAACTTGAGTAAAACTTACTAACTGGAGGACCCTGTGATAAGAGAGCTCCTGCCTACCTTGAGCTTGCGCAGTGGGGAAAGCAGTTGCCGCTTCGAATAATAAAAATCACAACCACTACCATCAGGACAGATAACCACTTACCTAAGCTATAGCCGGGATACTTCGGACCTGATCAAATAAAACAATGTGGGCTAGAACCCAATCGTACCAGAAACTCCCCCCATTTCCCTCAAGCAATCATGGATACCCCTCCCCTCAATTACCATACATTGTAAAAGGAAAATAGATGTCTCTTGGGTCTTCCCTCCACAAAGACTGACCTGTGCCTCCCTCTGAACTTGCTTTTGCTTTAAAATGCTTGGCTGAGTGAGAAGCTGACCCTGTGTCTTATTTCTCTACCACTGTGGTTAGGGTACTACCTCTCAGATTCTCCAGAGGGGAGTGGAGCTGGAGGCCAAGGAGGGCCAGAGAGGATAACAAACCTACAGCTTACTTACTACCTGACCTGAAGATTTGGGGGTCATCAACCCTTGCAACCACATGAGTCAAGAGAAGCCTGATGCCTGACCCTCCAGTTTGAGACTTGGCAGCCCCCACCCTGCAGGAGCCATTGCCTTGAAATGCAAGGGTAAGTCACCAAGTCTTACAGTTCCTACTTGTACTGGTTTCTAACGAACAATACACGCGATCAGTAGATGGCAACACACAAGCGCTCTCAGTAATGTACTTATTGTCATCGCCTTAGGGTCCCTAAAAGAAAAAAAATAAAGGCCCAATCAAAACAGTGACTTCCAAGGAGACCTGCTGGGCCAGTTCAACTCAAGGCAGAGAAATCAGCTCAGAAAGTGACTGCAAATGTGCCTTTGGGTCTCCGGAGGGCCCACTTGATAAAGATTTTCTCCGAGGACACAGGACAATCACAGGGGTTTATTAGGAAGATGATTTTTAAAACTTGGAAACGGCATTTAGAAAAGTACAGGAAAGTGACACCAAGATGTCCCCCCTCCCTTCTAGCTGTGCTTACTCATGCTTTGCGGACAGCAGGTGCTATTCTATGAAAAGTTCCTCCCTCCAGCTCTGATCGTACCTCTTCAGACCTCTTGGTTGGCAAATCTCAGGGCACATTGAGAAGGAACACAGTTTGAGTCCCTTGAGGATGCCAAAATGTGGAGTCAATTGAAGGGCACAGAATTCTTCATGGAATGAATGAATGAATGAACGAATTCGTCATAGAAGGGGAGGAGAGCTCAATGCCCCCTTCAGAAATGTGTAGTCGTAGATGGAGGCTGTGTTGAGAATCAGTCACGGCAGAGTTGGTTTAAATTTTTTTGGTCCAGGATTTTATAGCAGTACTTTTGACTTACCCTGATAACCCTGTGCACATATTTATGTGTGTGCTTCACTGGTTTGGCACCACTGGAGAACCCAGCCTAAGGCTGCCGTCAAGTATTATTCTCTTCTCGCGAACCTGATAGGTGGTTACATTTTGTAGCAAACTAGGGTAATGTATTGAGAGAAATAAACAGGGTGATAGTGTTGAAACCCACTGGCTTCAGGTAGATTCCTACACCTGTTGGTGATGGTGGTGTTGGTAGATGCCATTGTGTCAGTGACGACCCATCGCGACCTTATACACAACAGAAGAAACCATGGCAGGGGCCTGCAATTCCCTTACATTGTTCCTACTCCTGCGCCCATTGCTGGAGTCATGGTATCCATCCAGCTCAGGGAGGTCCTTCCTCTTTTCCGCTGCCCCTCCCCTTTACCAAGCAGGATGTCCTTCTCCAGGGACTGGTCTCTCCTGACACATGTCCAAAGTCTGTCGGACAAAGAAGGGAGCCGGGACCTTCTTTGTCTGTTCTTAGTCTGGAAGGTGCACGGAGACCTGCTGCCTCTGGGTGACCTTGCTGGTGTTTGAAACACCAGTGACACAGCAACATACAAGCCACTGCAGCACGACACACCGACAGACCGGTGTTAGAGATTCCTACTCATAGCAACCCGATAAGCCAGGGTAGGACTGCCCCATAGAATTTTCACAGCTGTAAATCATCTTTCTCCCATAGACTGGCTGGTGGCTTTGAACTGCCAACCATCCGAATGGCAGCCGAGGGCTTAAGCACTGTGCCATCAGGGCGCCTGTTAACAAGTATTAAAAAGAATCAAAACTTACTGAAATGTGGATGTAATGCTTATCTTGAGCTGTTGTGTTTTATATATAAATATATACATATATGTATATATGTATATACAGTGAACCCTCGTTTATCGCGGTTAATCGGTTCTAGACCCTACCGTGATAAATGAAATTCCGCGAAGTAGGATTCCTTATTTGTAAATCAAATATT